GTAATGGTACTGCATAAAAGATTTTATTTTATTTTGAGTTTATTGTAATGAAGAATTAAAATGCACAATAACTATTGAAGAAATTTAATTAAAAAATAAAGTTGGAGAATTGAATCTAAGGCCTCATTTGTTTGCACTTAAGGGAGGTCTGAATCTTAATCATTCAGATTCAGCATATTAAGATTTCTTTTTTTTTAAAATGTCTCTTAATAGATCTGAAAAGGTCCTAATAAATATCTTGCCTTAGTTATTCACAACTGGTGTATATTATACATTATTAGGAACAATGATTATCTTTCACCGTGAATCAGTGGGACGTTTATGTGTTAGAGAACATTGATTTTTTCACTTATTTTTTACTGAATCAACTCACTAGGAAAATGCATGATGAGAAACAAATCCTCACCGAAAAAGTGGGAAACTTTCTAATTTTAATTTAGAGGAAATTTCACAAATGGCCACCAAAATAAACTTAATTAGGTTCCATAGCTATAGTTTGCTAATTACGATTCGTAGTTATGTTAGAGGGAGGAGAGAGGCAATCAAGATGAGGAGAGAGGCGAGCGAGAGAGTGAAGAGAGGTGAATTGTATATGTATATTTGTCAGATAATTGTATATATGTAACTGATATACATATGTATTTGTATATCTGGCAAGTGAGATTGGGAGAGGAAGGAAAGAGGCGAGCGAGATTGGTAGAGGAAGGAGTGAAGCAAGCGTGATTGGGAGAGGGAGGAGAGAGGTGAGCAACAGAGGGTAGAGAGTGGAGAGAGGGAATTGTATTTGTATATTTGTCATATAATTGTATATGTATATATGTATGTATTTGTATAATTTGTATATGTATAAGAGAGGAAACAGGCGCACTCAATTATAGCTAAATTAAGTTGCAAGTGATAATTAATGAAAATTATAGTTATGTTAATTAATTAACTAGTATATGTTTGCTTATCCGCTTAATTTCCCCTTTAATTTATTGTTAAGAATCAAGATGCACAATATTGTTGAACCTGCCGACAAGCCCAAGTTTGTGCTAACTTTTGCACAACATTACAAAAGAAAAAAAAATTCTTATTGAAAAAGTGAGACGTATAGATAAATCAACATGACTATGAAGGAACATACTTGAATTAGAGTTATATAAATGATACTCTAGTTCCTAATAGTTCATAAAACAAAAAGGACGATAATATAAAATATATATAAAAAAAAAACTGAAAACTTAACATTAGAAAACAAACCACAAATATAAATAAATTAGTTTTTTTTTTTTGGGAATAGCAGCTCCAGAATATATACATTAAAGTGATACCAAAAGAAATTCTAATCTCATAAAGAAAATTATAAGAGTCCTTAATTATATAATTCTAAAATAAAAAATAAATTCATTATAAGATCTATTTATCTTTTTTATCAGATTGTATATCGCCACTTAAATTGAATCGAGATGTGTTAGTGTTGCTACTTAAGGGAAGCATATCTATCAATTTAATTAAACGTAGTGACCTGTCTTGGGCTTATAATACCCTAGAGCGGTCAATATGGGCTGGCCATTCCATCCGGGCTAACCCATACATGCTTTGAAATTTGACGGGTCAGGCCGGGCTAGCCCATTTTTTGTGTAGGCTAGAAAATGGTCGGCCCAACCCACAAGTACATGAGCTACGGGCTTTGCCAGGCCAGCCCTCTTTTCTTAAAAGTATATTTTTTATAATTTTTCTAAATTAAATTATAATTTAAAAATATTATCATAAATTTCGACAAGACAATATTACATAGTATTAGTGTTACTACTTGTTAATCAAATACACACATAAAATTATCTTTATAATATTTACTAAGTTTGATTTCAAGCAAAAACGTAAATAGCTAAATAGAAATATTAACCTAATTGTTTTCCAGTGATCATAGAAAAACACAAAAACTATGACAATATTCCGTAAGCTATGGCCTATGTAGTGAATCCTTAGAAATTTTAGAGAATTTTTATTTTATGTATTTTATATTTTTATTTCATATTTTATAAACATAATTTGTATTTAAATTGTAATATTCAAACTTAAAAGGATTTTGAGTTTAGACTCTTGTTATTTTTAATACTCTATTTTATTTTTATTTTTAATTAATTTTATTGGCTCATGGGCCGGTCCTATCCATATTTCTCGAGCCCCACAAATCGACAGGCTTATTCAGGCCGGGTTAAAAAGCCCTTTTCTTAAATGGGCTCCAAAAATCGTAGTCCAGCCCTATCAAATCACGGGTTAGGCCAGGCTGGCCCAACGGGCCTAGCCCATATTGACGGCTCTATAATACCCAATGAATAAGCAATGTCGAGATTGATGAAACTATTTTTGTTTAGAAATAATTCAAACATATCAATAATAGTAAAAAGTTGTTCAAATAGAAATTTGAAGTCGAAGAAAATGAAGTATCAAATAAAGAAGAAGAGCAAAGGTTGGAGGATAATGTTCTTGATTTTGTAGAATTGCACTATGCAATTAAAAAAAGGCGACAAAGTATTTGTCATTAGTGCACGACAAAGATAAAGGATTATAAAATGAGATTAAACAACTAGAATAAAACCCCTTTGACTTTTTAGTTTGAGAATTTTTTTAGTTTGAATAAAATTAAAGGGGGTTTTATGAAAGATGTTCAGAATTTAGAGTTATATATGTGGTATACATTAGAATGATTAAGAACATATATATGGAGTCAAAACCTGAGTGAGAATAGTGGAAGGAAACTTAAAATACTTTGCAGTCGAGATGGGGTTGCAAGAATCGACTATTATCACGTTTATCTTGGTAATGTATGAATTGGCACGGCATATTCAAGGGGGTGTACTATGATGTATGTTATTTTTTTAATAACATAGTATTAATTGACGAAACATGCAATAAAACTTATGATAGCTAGAAGTTTGGGGACATGCTCAAGAGTCTTAGAAGGAGAAAAACAAAGTAGATGAGGACTCCTTAATAGAGTGCAAGTTTAGTGACACATCATCTAAGGCGGATGTGGGAGTGAGAATTGACACACAATTATCATTCTTATGAGAGGAAGCTTCAAGTATCTTGGATCAATACTTCAAGAAAATGGGAGATCGAGGACGATGTCACACAACGTATTAGAGTGAGATAAATGAAATGAAGACCCGCACCCGATGTTTTATGTGATAAGAATATACTGCCAGAAGTAAATATAGGTCGTGTATATTGATTGTTAGACTAACTACATTATCCAGGGTAGAGTTTGATCAATCAACAACTTATACGTATAAGAATGCTTAAATAGATGTGTGAGCACACTAGGAGAGACAAGATTAAAAACTAGAAAGTTAAACAAAGGTAGACAAAAAAAAATTGCATCGTCGCCTGTGAGATTCGAACTCACGCGGGGAAACCCCACTTACTTAGCAGGCAAGCGCCTTAACCACTCGGCCAAAGCGACGCTGTGTACTTGTATCGCAATTAAAAGAATTTAACATGTTGGAACGAGATATGACAATCTAAGATAATTTAAAATAATAATTATAATAAATATTAGTTGGGCAACGTGCGGGTACGTATACTAGTAGTTCATAAAACAAAAAGGAATATAATACAAAAAAAATACTGGAAACTTAACATTAGAAAACAAACCACAAATATAAATAGATTAGTGTTTTTTTTTAAAAAAAAGAAGCTTCTCTTGAATATATACATTAAACTGATACCAAAAGAAATTCTAATATCATAAAGAAAATTATAAGAGTCCTTTCATTATAATTTTTTTTATAAAAATGAAAATTAAACTCATTATAAGATTTATTGATCATTTTATCGGATCGTATATTGCCACTCAAACTTGAATCGAGATGCATTAGTGTTGCTACCTAAGGGAAGCATATATCTATCAATTTAAACATAGCGACTTGTCTTGAACTTATAATACCCTATGAATAAGCAATGTCGAAATTGATGAAACTACTTTTGTTTAGAGATAATTCAAACATATCAATAATAGTAAGAAGTTGTTCAAATAGAAATTTGAAGTTGATAATTAATTATTTAGATTTGTATTTAGAGTTTTCATTATTTTGTTTATTTAGCCTAGGCTTTTTATATTTATGTTTCCTCGACTTGGAAATATTTAGAAGCACAAGGAAAACTTGAAGAAAATGAAGTATCAAATAAAGAAGAGCAAAGGTTGGAGGATAATGTTCTTGCTTTTGTAGAATTGCGCTATGCAATAAAAAAAAAAAGGCCACAAAGTATTTGGTATTAGTACACGACAAAGAAAATGGATTATGAAATGAGGCAAAACAATTAGAATAAAAACCCTTTGACTTTTTAATTAGTTTTTTTTGGTAGTTTGAGAATTCTTTTAGTTCGAATAAAACCTCCTTCTAGAGTTATATATGTGGTATATATATTAGAATGATTAAGAACATGTATAATGGAGTTAAAATCTGAGTGAGAATAGTCGAAGGAAATTCAGAATACTTCACAGTCGTGACGGGTTGCAGAAATCGACTCTTATCATAATTTTATTTACCTTGGTAATGTATGAATTGGCACGACATATTTAAGGGGATGTACTATGATGTATGTTATTTTTTAATGACATAGTACTAATTAACGAGACACACAATAAAATTAGTCATATCTAGAAGTTTGTAGACATGCCCTAGAGTTTTAGTAGGACAAAAAACAAAGTATATATATGAAGACTCCTTGATAGAGTGCAAGTTTAGTGACACATCACCTAAGGAGAATGTGGGAGTGAGAATTGACACACAACTCATTCTTAGAAGAGGAAGGCTTCAAGTATCTTGGATCAATAATTCAAGAAAATGGGAAATCGAGGACGATGTCACACAACGTATTAAAGCGATATAAATGAAATGAAGACCCGCACCCGGTGTCGTATGTGATAAAAATATACCACCATAAGTATAGGTAGGTTGTGTATAATGATTGTTAAACTAACTACATTATACGGGATAGAGTTTGATCAATCAAGAACTTATACGTCCAGAAACTACAACAAAAATGAGAATGCTTAGGTAGATGTGTGAGCACACTAAGAGACAAGATTAAAAACTAGAATATACGGAGCAAGATTGGAGTGACCTCAATGATGGACAAGATAGGAGAAGTGACATTAAGATGGTTCAGACATGTGAAGAGGAGAAGATAGGTGCAAAAGGTTGACGATGATAGGTATGAACTTTTTTATTTGATCTCAACAATTTTTTATTTGGTGTTTTATGATTGAATTGTTTCCATTGGTGGTAGATATTATGGTACGATCATGTGGTTTATAATTCTTGGGTTTCTTAGTTATTGTCCTCAATTTTGTTTGTGACTTTTTGAGCACATGTAGTAGCTATTTCTTGTGCTTTTAGGTTAGAATGTTGGACCTTTACTTTCCATTTCATCAGATGGGAACTATATACTACAGTAAAACCTCTATAAATTAATATTCGATAAATTAATAATCTCTCTAAAATAATATTTTTCTCCAGTTTTGATTTGGGCCAATGGAAAAAATCACCAATTTCGATAAGATAATAAATTTCCAGAAGACCCCTATATAAATATATGGTCCCATTAATATCATAAATCAATAATTCTTTAAAAGTACAAATATTTCTAAGACAATTTAGTGAAATATGACTCTATTATGTTTTGTTTTTTCTTAAAATTTAAATCCAGTTGAAGCTCATCTCTAACTTTTCTTATTGCATCCAAGAGCTCCGGTGTTGTCTTTTCAAACTGCACCATAAAATTGTGAAAAGTTCTAGATGTTATGAGTGTTTCCTTACGCGTAACTGCTTCCAAAGGTATACTATCATCTTCGACTTTATCATCAACATTGTTTTTTCTGATAGTATCCACAATTTCTTTCAAGCTCTGGACTTCTGAACATGTATCACTTTCACCCGGATAATCCAACAAGTTATTGACATCCATTTTATTGTGGTAACCGAGATCATCAATCATGACCTCAAGTTCATGAATGATGTTTTCACAAGTGGCTTCATTCAAATTCTCTAAGATTGCATCCCCCAAACGAATTTTACAGTGTCGAAAACAATTTGCTATTGTCTCTTGCTGAACATTTGTTGTCCAAGCAGGGATTGCAAAATTGATAGCATCCAAAACATTAATCTTTGCTGGATCAGTTTGTCCCACTTCATAGCCTTCTAATATCCTACGATAAAATTTGTTATGATAATATACCTTGACAACTCTTATTATCCCAGCATCACAAGGTTGAATTTTGGATGTCATGTTGGGCGGCAAGAAAAACAATTCAACATTTTGTAGTCCTTCAATATTTCTATTATGGGCTGGACAATTATCTACGATTAAACAAAACTCTACCATGCATTTTGTGGTCAAACCAATGAATATATTCATCAAAAAGCACACTTATCATCCATACTCTTTTGTTTGCATAATAGTGACAATTCAAAAAATATGATACATAAATTAGTAAAATATAATGATTTTGATGTATTCGTTGTACTTTATGTATAATGTTTTTTTATGTGAAATCAATAAATATGATACATAAATTAGTAAGATACAATAATTTTGATATCATTAAATCTCAAACCATTCTTTAAATTAATAAATATTAATCGATTAATATTATTTATCGATTAAATAATATCTCTATAAAATAATAAAATTTCATGGTCCCGCCTATATTAAGTTATAGAGATTTTATTGTATGTTGCTCTGTCTCTTCCAAAATTGTTGTTGAACTCTTACCGACCTGATATATATTCTTGTGGTGTTAGCCAAGTCATGGTCCATTTGCTTAGATTTTGTGGTGATATTGACCTTCCTGAGTTCGTAAATTGAGAGTTGTCTATAAATCACTTGTGCTCTTTGGTATCGTTCTTGTCATCTACAAATTAAACCCGTCTTTTAAAGTCATATTTAAAGAGTGATTAAGTTAGCAAATCAATGTTAAACCATTCTTAGTGTTTTTGATTGATGCAAGCAAATATACGGTTTTATTTGATTAATTAATCCAGTACAAATGACAGGAAGGTAGACCAAAAAAATTGCAACGTCGCCTGTGAGATTCGAACTCACGCGGGGAAACCCCACTTACTTAGCAGGCAAGCGCCTTAACCACTCGGCCAAAGCGACGCTGTATACTTCTATCACAATTATTAAATAATATCATAAAAAGGAATTATAAGTGTTTGACTTTTTTTCCATATGAAGATTTACAAAAACAATACCAATGTTTAATATAAATCGAAATGAATAAAGTACTTCATTCATCAATGCTATTATAATAGACAAATCATCATATTTTTTGGATTACACACAAGCCTATCAACTATTGTATAAGTTTCCTTTGTAGTAAAGTATATATTGTGCACCAACATGGGTTGTGGTGCATTGATGAGAGTGTTTCACCCTTAACCAGAGGTCTCGGGTTTGAGTCCTGGGTATGGAGAAAATCATATTGGGAGCGTCACTCCCAAATGGGCCCTGCAGTGCGTGATTGTTGACACTCAATTTTGACCCTCCACAATAGGAATTAATCATCGAGCTTCTTCAATTTCAAACAATTTAAAAGAATTACTTAGTTTTTATAAAATTCGTAATATTTTCAATTGGCTATTTTCTTAATTCCAATTGGCTACAATTGAAACTCGTTTGACTATTGTTCAATTGCAATATTAGCCACTTTATTACCTCATCCTTAAGACCTTTGTTTTGGGCCTTTCTCACGAAAAACTAACCCAGCAGGCCCAATTCTTTTCTCCAAATCTCAGCCCACAACCGACCCAGCCCATTCTATTCATTCAACAATACCAATTTTGATGACATGTTTAAAATCACAAATTTAAAGAATATTTCGATGTATTTAATTTAAAAAAAAATTTAAGATCACAAAATTCAAACTTTGTATCAAATCAATAAGTCAAACAAATTGGAAAAAAAGAAAAGGAAAGAAAATGTTTAAAATATCCTATCTTATTTAATTATATACATTACGTCTTTTTCCAAATTATTTTTATTTTAAGTCATGAATCTATCGAAAACAATTTCTCCACCTCACATAAATAACATTTTTCAAACTCACTCTATACTCTATAAGATTAGATTAAATATATTATTATTATTATTATTATTACTATATATTAACTTATTGCTAATTCATAAAACCTCAAAGCATATTGACTAATGTGCACATCAACTTAAAATTATTCAATATAAATTAATCAAGGTTTTGCAAAAGGGCAAATATATTGACAACCACATAAATGGGAAGTGATGGGCATGTTGGGAAAAAGACAAATAGGAAAAGGAGTGTGAGGTTGTGAGTGAATGAATAAAAAGAAGAAAGTAAGTGTCTCTTTTTCTGATCCAAAGGTCAGAGAATTTATTGAGCCAAATTCACCTGAACCTCACAATTTTTTTTTGTAAGTTATGTCCTTATTCACTAGGGGTCTACTTATTACTCCTCTCCGTTTAACAATAATTGTCGTCTATACTAATTTTTGAGATATATTAAATAATATTTGTCTATTTTATAAAATTAGTAAATAATTTTATATTTAATTTTTAATGTATTCTTATTATTAATTATAGTTATTTTTCTATTATATATTTCAAGACATTATATTTATTATATTTAAAGAATGATATAGTAACATTACTTTTTTATTTATAATTTTTTTTTAAATATGCAAAATCAATTATAAACAAGTGTGGTTGGATAGAGAGAGTAGTATACTATCTTCCACCTCCCTCCACTAGGCTTAAATTTTTTTATTTTTTTTTAAAAGCATTTTCCTATTGAAATATACTTAAGTTGGTATGGAAAGTCATCATGAAAGGCATGTTTGATAAAAAAGGATTGTTATTGTAAATAAAATGTCATAAATTATAAAATATTTAATAAAAAGATAATTTATCAAATTTAACTAAAAAACTAAATGAATTGCATTGTGAAGTCTCAAATCAATACTACTAAAATAAATTAAAATTGAAAATATAACATAAGTTTTAAATTTAAAACCAAAAAAATAAACACAATACTCTTATGTTAGATTTCTTGAACTCGGTTAGTATGGTGTTCTTCTTGCTGAAGAAGTCATTCTAAGCAACAAATTTTGTTCAAATATAATTTGCGTGAATTATGGGATTATATTCCTTTTTCGCAATCGAAATTACCGCTCATTAAATCTTTTATTTTAAAAACAAATTTTGTATAATTTTTTTATACAAAAAAATGAAATATACAAAGGAAAGTCTCCATAGTAAATGAAACTATAGTTATGGGTGTAATTAGGAAAACTATAGCTATGGAGACTTCCTATGTTTATTATCTTTGCTATTTATGAAATATTCAAAAGAGCAACTTTTACATATAGTAAACATAAAAATCATATTTGTATGTTATAGATATAGTTTGCATAATTGCGCTCCATAGCAAATTTTATGTTTGCTATAGAGCTTTTGATTTGTATAATTCGCTACAAACATCCAGTTTTATACAAATTGTTCAGTTTTGTAAAAATTCATTTATACATTGTAATTTGTATAATAAGATCAGTATTTGTATAATTATAAGTGTATAGGACGAAAATATATGTATTTATATTTGTATATACACTTTTCTCTCGTTTTATACAAACACAAACGCATTTTATTTATTTTATACCAAAATGTATAAAATGACTAATTGTATATCTAAAATGGCTAATTGTATATTGAATTAGATGGCAAAAAAGGGGGATGTTTGCTGCGAATTACAATTAAAATAAACTATGGCTATAACATTTAATTTGAATTAATAGTTTGTTATTTCATACAATTTTCCCTTTAAAAAAATAGATCAAATAAATTAAAACAATAACTAATTTATCTATAACTTGACAAATAAGAACAATTCACTATTTTTTATTGTTCTAAAATTTGAATTGTACACTTCCATTTAAATTTATTCAAGTAATTGTTATCTAAGTTAATAATAGATGAAAAATCTTAATATATCAATTTATTAATTATCTAAATTTTCACTTTATTAATAATAATAAAACATTACTTTATAATCCCCCTCCATTTTGAAATCTGAATTAAGAGTCCCGAAATTAAAGTTAAGATATTTCCAATAAAAACGATTTCATATCTAAAGAAATTCAAATCCGACTAGACTACAATGTTGAGTACTCTTTAGTCATTTCCATCATACATACTCTCAAAACCCCTTGACTTTACCTTTCCATCAAATGAAAATATGCCACGTAGATCCATCTTTACAGCACTTGACCGTTCATATGTCGCCACGTGGAAACGTGCACGTTAGCTCATTGTCGAAACTGCGTATTTTAGCATGAAGAACAGTGACGGAGTATGCAAAGAAGCAGAGACGGAGTTCACTATGCGACACAACAGACCAGATCAAGCTGGCCCTCTCTTTTGCCGTATATTCCAAATCCCATCGTAGCCGTCCAATTTCTAAATCAACGGTTGAGATTCACCACACAGATTTACTTCAACTCTCCTATTTCTGTCAGATTTGTTTCTCTTCTGTGTGTTTCACAGATCAAAAAGATGGCGTCTTTGGCCCTAACCTCAGCCGTCAACCTTCGTCTCCGGCCAACCCCATCTCAAAAACCACGTATTTCCATCACCCAATCTCTTCATTTCACTCAAACATCACTAAAAACCACAAATCTTGGAAAAAGTTTGAATCTTGGAGGAAAAAGATTGAATCATGAGAAATCAAGAAGGGTTATTGTAAAGACTTCGGCTTCAGCTTCAGCTTCTTCTCCTGCAATAGTTCCACAGCAGCAGCCTCCATGGCAAGGTGCAGCAATGAAGCCTTTGATTGCTTCAATAGCAACTGGGGTTATTCTCTGGTTTATCCCTGCACCTGCTGGTGTTACAAAAAATGCATGGCAGTTATTGGCTATCTTTCTTGCTACAATTGTTGGGATTATTACTCAACCATTACCTCTTGGAGCTGTAGCTCTTATGGGTCTTGGTGCTTGTGTGTTGACTAAAACTCTTACTTTTGCTGCTGCATTTTCAGCTTTTGGTGATCCAATTCCATGGTTAATTGCTCTTGCTTTTTTCTTTGCAAGAGGGTTTATTAAAACTGGATTAGGTAATAGGATTGCTTATCAGTTTGTGAAATTGTTTGGTAGTTCTTCATTGGGGTTGGGTTATAGTTTGGTTTTCAGTGAAGCCCTTTTGGCTCCTGCTATTCCTTCTGTTTCTGCAAGGGCGGGTGGGATTTTTCTGCCATTGGT